TTGTGTTCTTCTGGTCTGGGGTATGATTGTCTGCCTTATGTTCTCTTGGATCTCTGTGTCTAATCCTGTGGTTTTAAATGTTGCTTCCAAGGCTGCAAAGAATTTTAAATGATTAGCACTGTCTGTGTTATAGTAGAGACCTTCCTGGAGGATATCGTGTTCTGTAGTGGATAGTGGGTGGCTGGAAATGTTGACTACCCATCTGGGTTCAGGTGCCTTTTTGCTTCTGGGATTTAGATTGAGCAGTTTGGTTTGGAGTTTTGTTTTCCTTTTTTCAGCTTGTCTTAGAGATGTAGTCTTGATGATCTTGGTAGTGGTCTTAGAGAGGTAATCTTCCCCATTTAGACTTTTCTTCTCAAAGAAAAGAGATCATTTAATCTCTTTTTCATAGGAGTTCATTTCCAGGCTTTAGATCATCCTCATTGCTCTTCTTGGAACTTGTTTTCTGTCTGACTGTATCTTTAAGATGTGGTGCCAGAACTGGACATGATATATGAAATGGAATCTGGCCAAAACAGAATTATTCCCTTTCATGACCTAGAAATTATATTTCTCTTGCTACAGCCTAAAATTGCATTAATTACTTATTTTTTGGAGCTGCATCACACTGCTGACTTATCTTTTTTACACGTACCACATATTCACCTCCTATACCTGTGCAGGTTTTTTTCTTTAAGTTGCTGACTAATCCTGTGATTATTTTTCTGTTAGAGTTGATTTTTGTGTATTTTTTATTTTTATGGGACATACTGTTCTCCTATTTATTCATAAGTCTCTCCCCTCTGTTCCCACACCACACCAATTTAAAATATTGACATAGTTCAACTACAGCATGATAACATTAAGCCATAATGGGGTTTGCTTATCTTTTATTGTAGTGTCATATGTGACATTATCCATTGTATTTAGTATTAAGTGCAGACGTAGCTGTTTTGGTTTGTTGAACAAACCATCACTAAATATGCCCTAGCATAATGTTATATGTGAATCAGGTCACTATGACTTGTTTGGTTTATGATCTCAGGTGTTTCCTATGGTTACAATTGTGTATGCAAATATCCTAAGAAATTTTCCTTGTACTCTCCCTGTACTCCTTGTCTGTCAATGTTATACTTTCATTCTGTCATCATCTTGTCCCTACTGAGTATGTGATCGCTTCCTGTCTTGGAAAATAACCTCGTTATTCTCTCACAAGCTGAAATAATGGTGTGTATGATGTACCTTAATTTAACTGAAAAAAGCAGATTATTGTTTGCATGCAATATATTTGTGGAGCTTTTGTTTTTGTATAGGCAGCAGAAGATGTTAACGTTACTTTTGAAGATCAGCAGAAAATCAACAAGTTTGCTAGAAACACCAGTAGAATTACAGAACTAAAAGAAGAAATAGAGGATAAGAAGGTAACTGGAATCTGGCAGTACCCAAATCACATCAAATAAATAAATAAACAAACTTTGTTGTAAAGTTAATTGGCAAAAATCTGGTTGCTGCAATCCAGAGCCTTATGCTTTGATTCATTTGTATGCCAGTGGTATTCAGGAGAATTGGTAGTGGTACAGATAGTAAAAGCACAGGTTTCTTTCACTGACTTAGTAGAGTTGGAAGAAGTTTGCTGCAGAAATATTTCTTCTACCAGATTATAATATTACTGGCATACTTTTTTCCTTTTGGCAAATTGTATTACCAGAAGTTTGATTTGCTTAAAATTGGCCACTAAAGTTTTAGGAGTCGCTGGGAGTCAAGCGGTGTACAAATGTAATTAATTAATTAGAACCTCAAGATTGTAACTCATTTTTTCACAAAATTAAATATGACCATATTTTAGTTTTCCCTTGCAGGAGAGACATTCCAAACTCTTTGACTATTCTAGCTATCATCCTCTAAGTCTCTTTTAGCACATATAGCTTTTTAAGGATGGGCCAACCACAAGCCCATTCAGTTAAGAGAGCGTTTTAAATCTAAGTAAGGACTTTGTCAAACCTTTTAAAACTGTGTGAAGGTTCAATTCAAAAGCAATTCAATCAAGTCACCGAATTGATTAATGAGATTGATCACTTCAAAATCACTTTAAATTAGCTCACCTTGTAGAATCAAATTGATAGTTCATTTGCCACTAAAATCTATCACTGTATTTTAATCACTTAAATTTACCTTTTTCATTGTTGAAAGGCAACCAGTAGGGCTAGTTGGTTCTGTTCTTTTGAATTGTCCCAAAGCTGTTTCATAGATGGTCACAGCCAGTTTAAAATAAAAAAAAAAAATGTGCATGCACTTCCAATGGTTTATCCTAAGTTGAATCACTGCATATCGTGTTGATGGTTAAACAGGTGGGAAAATAATTGGTTTCTTGAATGCAGAAACAGCTTCAGAACTTGCAAGATGCTTGTGATGACATCATGGTGCTTGACGATGATTCATTACTGATACCATATCAAATTGGAGATGTCTTCATTAGCCACCCCCAAGATGAAACAGAAGAGATGTTGGAGGATGCAAAGGTCAGTTCTGTTCCTTGTGCTATTTCTGTGGTCCTTCTATGGCATTGCAGTGAGAACAGATGGGGAAAAAACTGGCAAATATTTTCCCAGGTAGTCTTCTTTCCTCTATTGTATCTAGCAATGAATTACTTGTTTTTCTTGCTCCCAACAATTTCTCAGCATCATAGTTCGAAGACATTGATTTTTTGTTGGTGTCATTCAGCCTTTCTGATTGCTAACTTTCACAGCTAGGAACGCCATGACTTAGCAATGTATATCTTTGTCATCAGTGTGATGTCTCTAATATTGAGCATAAGATTGGTTTTTGCACTCACATTTTTCATCGTCAACAAGAGATTCATGAAGACTTCCTTCTTTCCAGCCACTAACATGGTATCATCAGCATAGCTGTATGTTTTATTTTCCTGGCAATGTTAACACCATCTTCTGTTTCTTCTAGTCCAGCATTTGTCAAAATAGGGTTCAGCATATAAGTTGAATACATGGTGTGACAGTATTTAACATTGGAGCACTTCTTTTCCAGTTTTGAACCTATTAGTGGCTCCATGTTCCATTGTAACTGTTGCTTCCTGGTCCTCATACAAATTCATGCATATAGTGTTGTTCAGATAAAGCATCCACACTAGAGTAACATTAAAACACACATAGTAAAAATCAATAATATATACATAAAACCTTCATGTTGGGTGAAACATTTTTTCAGTATGTGGATAAGCTGGTCTGATACACTCATATTTTTAAGAGCTGTCCATAACTTGTAGTCTTCCTAGTCAGAAGCCTTAGTGTGATTAACAAAGCAAAAAAAAAAAATGTTATTTTGGAATTCTGCTGCATTTTCCATTATTCATTGGATGTTTACCGTGTGATCTTGAGTACCCTTCCCATTTGGAAACCAGTTTGTTCCTCTGATAGTTTCATGTATTTTTGAAGTTTGGATTACAAAATCTTAAGCATTGTCTCAGCATCATGTGAGATAAGCGAGACCATTCAGTAGCATAAGCATTCATTATCACTGATTAATCTTTTTCAGTCCTTTGGCCATTGCTGCTTACAAACAAGCAGCACTATAATAACATCATTTTGCAAGGTTTAAACAGTTCAGTGGCATTTCATCAAGCCCTGCAGCTTTGTCCTTGACGGTATTTTCTAGGGCCCATTAAATCACTTTCCAAAACATCTGACTCTATCTTGGTGATAGTACCTTAATATGTGATTTGGGAGGCCTTTTTTGTATGGTTCTGTATAATTGTACTGTCTCTTCTTTAATATCTCCTTTCTTCAGTAGATCTTGCTTTGTACATCAATCAACAGTACAATTTTTATGGTGTGGTATCTCATTTAGGCAGCAGAGTCATGCCTCTAGCTCTAGGAAGCCTTCCAAAATTGCCACGTCTTTACAAGTTTTGGGAAGACAAGAAGGGAAAGTTTCCTTCTTGCCTTGGGAGCAATTGTTCTATTTGAGGAGAGCCTCCCCAGAGAATATCTGCTTCTGGAGGCCCTCCTGTCAACTCCCAATAGGAAGGAACCTCAGCATGTTTAGTTTGTTTGCATCGGCAGACAGATTTTACTTCAATACACCATCCCAAGGATATCCAGGTATTTAGATGTAACTCCTTATCTCTTTCCTGGAAAGCAGTACTTAGCTGGATAAAGTTTCCTCTGTTGCTTTTGACATTTAGTTTTTGCTTTTCATTTTGCCTTCCTTTGCTTTTTACAAAGCAGAGTATTTTAATGGCTGCAGCTCAGTGATATCACAAATTTCAGTCCAGAGTTCTTCATCATTTGCTTTATCAGAGCTAGTCCATTATATCTGTTCTTTACCTTCACTGCATAGTCATATGAAATATTGTTGAGATCCTATCTTGAAGACTTCATAATTTTGTGCGTTTTCTTCAGCTTGGATTTTTTCAAAAAGCAGTTCATTATCTGAACTGCAGTCATCAATATCCTTTCTGAGATAGTCTGTACACTAGGATTCTCACACTTCAGAAAGTTATTTCTCCAAAATAGTTTCATTTGGCAACAAACTGCCAATATGATTTTGGATTAGAGCTGTAGGGTTGTCCTCTGCCTTCCTTTTTGTCCATGACAATGAGACTGTAAGTCTATATGGATCTCCATGTTCCATTTGCAGATATGTAGGTAGATTTCACACAGTTGCAAAAGCAAGAGGCTAATAATCATGTCAGCATCAGATTAGATTTACTAACCTCTTCGTGCACATACACTGTTCAGAAGTGGCCTGTATGCTAGAATTCCAAATGTGACTGCATTAAAGATTATACATGAGCAGTGCATTATTGCAGTTTCATTTTCATTGTTCTGTATCTCTGATTTGTGCAAGGAATTGTCAGTGAAACTTACAATATTATTATACTTACAATATAATGAATGTAGGAACGCTTCAAATATTGCAGAATTCCTACTCAGAAGGCATTATCTTGCAATGTTACACAGCCATTCTATAGATGATGATGTAACAATTTGTTAGCTATTGATAGTCTGATAAAATAATAATTGCATCAGGAAAGTTGTCTCTTAAAGAATTTTTAAAAATATCAGGATAATGCTTCACATCTCATGA